CACGGTACGTCTCACTGATGTTTCGGTTATTTATTTCAAACTACTGACATACGAAAACCATCAATTAAATAAAAAGAACGTGCAGCGTACTGCATCGTGTGGAACAATGAATGAGAAGAGCCACAGTCGTGTATAATGAAAGCAAATTTGTACAGACAAGAATAATCTACTCCACATACACAGAACCTGAGTACAATAAATAAGACCAACATTCAACTGCTCGGAGATAAGTATTTGTGCACATAACACACGGTAAGGAGACAGAATTGATCACAGATTTACACCAGAACGTATGCGAAGTGAACCTGAGAACAGCATGGCCCATCAGATCGCAAAATGAACTCCATTGGGAAAGTGTTTCTCACCTGAATCAGCAGTTCTTTCATTCGTTTTTCCAGACGCTTACAATTTTTGGTAACCGTCATCTTATCCTGCTTTTCTATCTCTAACTGTTCGTCGAAAGCTGCCAGACGGGCTTCAAGAGTGGCAAGTTGAGCTTTGCTTCGTCTGCCACCTTCTTTTTCAGCCTCGGTTAACCGATCACGCAGTTCCTTGACCTGAAAGCCAAACAAAAGCAAAGACAAGTAAAAACATGATCCAATGCTCATCAAACAGATTCTTATGACCAACTCTGTTTTAATGGTGAATCGGCAGAATACGGACCGGATCAGCATTAGAAAACCAGAGACAGGATAACGGCGTTACAAGCGATAACGAAATACACCTACCTGCTTCTCCAGTGATGCACGTTGTGACTCTGCACGCATCGCGTTGGTACGTTCTACGCTGTAGTCTGCTTGCAGCTGCTCCAGCTGAGCAAGGGATCGTTTGTATCGTTCTTCGGCAGCGTCCATCGCATTCTGAGCCTCTTCTAATTGATCCTCGAAACCGACCAAACGAGCTTCCAGACGCCGTTTTTCCTCAACAGCAGCATTCCTGAGAAATTTGAGAGCATATACGAAACATAATCAAGTACGTTTGAAGCGTAAGAAAACGGCAGACATTATTTCATATCACTAACTTTCGGTTAGTGATAGCAGCGAAAAATTGGACGAATCATCAGCATCTGAAGTTCTGGGGCGCATATGCTACCAGTTTTCAAAATTGAACAGCTAACTGGGACCATCGCGTGTTTTTATGTTGTTGTTTATCCTTCTGTGAGCAGTGAGATCATAATTGACTTTTGATTTACGAATGTACGTGGAACGTCATCGGCTGTACAAATATTCAAGGTATTCCGACTGGTGGGTGAAACAACTAATAGACCGATCACAGTTCAGTTCAGTTTGAACAACCATTAACCATGCACTTTCGTGCGCCGGTTTTGGTTGCTGTCTTTTGGCTGCCACAGTGGCACACAAAGTACTGAAACTCCAACGTAGAAAGTGGTAGTCATCGCGTAGGTATTGTTTCCTCGACGCATACCCAGCGTGAGGATAATAAGATGAGTTCTATAGCCATAAGGACGTGGTTTGGCTTATGAAAAGTGGTGACCTAATTCCTCAACCCGGAAATGGCGAATTACCGTAAGCTTTAATGGGGTATAGGTCGTGTTATTCCAGGTGACCAAAACGCTGTTTACTAAAAAAACGGAGTGGTGGTAACGGGATTCGAACATTGAACCTCAGGAACACGTTAGTGACTGCAACTTAACCACCTTAGGTCTCTTCGCATATTTGATTAGGCATGTGATTATAAAGCGCGAAGTGAAGAAGCATTTAATTGTGATGCGTGATACAAACAAAATCACGCTCATGGAACTCGTCAAAACCGAGCAGTTAGTAGCCCTGCATTAACCTGCCAGAACTTCAGTAATGATGTACACCACACACGCTTGTGTTGGATTTAATGCCGCTTTGAGGACCGCATTATCTATGGCCGATAGCAGGGGAGTATATTGTGATCCTAAAAAGTAAGTTTTTGTGTTCATTAGGTGATGTCAGTTATGCGCTACATAACAACGTCCAGTTTCCGCCAGTCTAAATTATTCTTGATCACATTTACTCAATCAACATCGGGCAGTGAGTAGCTTGTTAATGATGGGCGGTGGTGGTGGTTGAGTGATAACGTCACTAAATTTTCGCCTCGGGAGACGTGCGCGCGAATCCCACCACCATCGCCTGACTTTCCCCATTTTATGTTGTATCGCAGCCCTTCGATTGGCTACTTCCCCCTTCCTGAAATTTATCATTGTATATCCAATTAAGGAAGTAAAAAATGAAAAAAACCACGAAATCACTATACTCACTTGGTTGCTGTGATACTGGACATTTCTTGTAACGTTTCATCCAACTCGCTCCGTAAAGCTCGACAAGTTCGTTCGGAAGCATGTAGTTCTTCCTGCAAATGATTTTTTTCACCCTCCATGGAGCGCCATTTCTTTTCTAAATCGCGCATCGATTCCACAGCCTGATCCCGAGCGCGAACCGCTTCCTCCAGTTCGCGTTGTATGCCGCCCGAGACACCTTGATACTTCTTCAGTTGTTTCAAGGCCTCTTCTTTCTGGCGCGTAGCCAAATCCAGGCGTTGATTGGATTCGGCAAGATCGGATTCGAGCTTCTTTCGCACACCGAAATGAATACCACGTTGTTTCCTCTCGTCCTCCAGCTCGGCTTCGAGCTCTCTCAGCTGTTTCATAGTCTGGCGGCGCTGTTCTTCAAGCATTTCATCACGACCAGAAAGTTCACGCTCCAGTTGCGTGCGCAAAGCATTGAGCTGGACCTGTAAATCACAAGTGATTTGCCGGGGCGGTTAGTTAAAAACACTAATGGTCGGAAAACATTCAAGAAATGAAACGATTTGCCAATAAAAATATACTCGTGCACTATGCATCAAACTTCATCATAAAAAATGTCAGTAAATAGCAACAGATTCTGAAGGGGTCATTACTCAAGTTCAAGTAAATAAAAATATACACAGAAACTTCGCATGGTTCAGTTATTTATACCTTTTTTCCTCTAATACCAATTGAAACGCAAGCATACATGGGTATCGGTGATCCAGCTGTCACTATCACCAACCTATCGCCCTGGGGGGATATTCTACCTCCATCACGGCCGCCTAAATTATCTTTGTATTGCACGATAGCCCTCGGATGGACTGTTTTCCTTCCCTCCGAAAAGGGTATGTAAAAAGTTCATTGTTTCATGCCTCAGTATGGTCGGGGGTGGGTGTATGAGGTTACAACTGGTCACCCTTCCCTTGCGCCTCGCGAACTGCTCCTATATGACCAGGCGTCTCAAATAGACTATACTGAGGAAACCCTATTCAATACCTTCTCGTTGCGGAGGTGCTTTCCCATCAAAATGAGAGGACAAAAAGCCGATATCCGGGATTATAACCAGGTTTGTGAACCACTGGTAGTTCACATACGAGAGTTGTTCAATTCAACCAAGAGGTGCACGAACGATACACACCATCCCGATTGTGGCACTGGTCACCGGCTCGATCGGGCATTGAGGGATATTGGACACCTTGGACGTTTGACCCCGACAAAGTGATCCGATGAACTGTGCATTGGCCCCCAATGGATTGCGATTTTCGCACACAGCCCCGCTGCCTTGTGGGCCAGACTCTGGCTAGCCGAAGGTTCCTCCAGAAAATTCACCTGCCTTGGCCTAGGCAACCTGGCATGCAATCGGGTCAGACGTTGGTGATATATATATATATATATATATATATATATAGAACCGCGAAACCCATTGTGTGCTTTCAGGGAAATATTGTCCAGTCATTCTAATACTACTTATTATGAAATATATACCTGTTTCATCCGGTGATTTATGAAATGTTTTTCTCCATGAGCTTTATTTGCTGGAGACGGAAAAATTGTGGGATTCGAGTTAATTTGATGATCAAAAGCCGCTTACTGAGCATACGGTAGAACCTTTTGGTGGTACCAACTCATTTCGTTTAGTTTGCTCTGAGTTACAAGTGGTTGACCTTATTATCATACCGACTTAGAGATAGCGAGTTCAAGTCTAGCATCGGTAGTTCAAATTTTACCAATCTATGTTCCTAAACGACGCTTGACTGTCGGTTGATTATCCTCTTCCTCAAAGTCGACTGCACAATAGCAGTCAATAAAAGGAAGTGAAACGATTGTCTACGAGAAACAATGAGCGTCGGTGAATCATCAGGAGACTGGATTGCTGCTTTTGTGAGTAACGATAAAAATGTGAATCATGGACACTGGTAACCGAAATAGGACCTCAGAAGTACAAAATTTACGGTTACGAACGAAAGCTGACCAACCAAACACTTCGACAATGGTGGAAGTGATAAAACTGAAATTCCATCGCAAAGAAATCAGGGAAACAAAACAGAGTAAACCGTCATATCAAAGAAACTTCAGAAAAATGCACGACATTTTGTAGATATAGGTCACTGTCACTATCTGTGGGCATGTAAAACAGATTATGGGCTATTGTATGCAAATGCCGAAAGAACCGGATTGTGTGTGTGGGTGGTGTAAGCGGAGTAATGAGCCAGGCTGTCGACATACGGTTCAACGACTGTCCGATCAGTTGGTTAACTGGCTGACCAACCAACGGATCGATNGGATCGATAACCTGCATACCAGTGGTACGACGCGGGTACATAGCCTAACTCACTCATTTGTTTCCTGACCGGTGTGCAATCATCAAACTCCTGCGCGTTAAACCCATGGCATGCGTGCACACGTACCAATAGGTGCTTACCTATATTGGCGACACAGTAGGCATACGCACGTGTGGGAGCGAATGGACGAACTATTTTTTAACCATACCTATCACTTGCGGTGTCTGTTGTTCAATCAACAATATTATAAGCACCTACGCCCAACCTCTGAGTCATTTCCGCATGCTACGGCACTTGCCCGATGATCTTATCCAGTGACATGACAACCCTACACGCGGATAAACAAATAATCATATATCTGTTGCTTTTGTCCAGAAGCCCCATAATTCACATGGGCAATGATTTCATCAACATGGGAAGCCAACCCGAAACCCACGCATCTCTAGGGTGAGGTCATTACACTTCCAAAATCAAAGATTCCCCTCGGAAGTTTGTAAAAGGAAGAACGTGTGTGTACGATACGTGAGATATACTACTACTGCTACCTACCTACCTACATAACTACTACCTTTCTAACAAAGACTTTATTTCGAAGCGCAAATATCAATGATGATAACAATCCGCATGACATTCTCCGGAAGACATGGCAGGAAATTCAGAATGGAATATGAAACCTCTAGGACACAGTCTCGGAAAATGAGCATACGCAAAAATATGGCTGAGAGAGATGAGAGCGACTTAAACAAGAACAATAACAAACCCATGCACGCTACACCTGTATGCCTCGTACCGAACCACAGCACTAATTTAAGTGATGGTTATATGTGTCACTTCTTGAGCCACTCACAACAACCAAAGGTTGTTTCCTAAAACACCTAAAAAAAGGCCTGTCACCTAAGCGCGGATGACAGGCCCAACTAAAGTGATAAATTGAACCATTAACACAACAGGGTGAGCGGTATGCGCGGCAGTCGATAGAGTGATGAAAATTTAAACACTAAACTGAAAATCATTTACCTCTGTTCGTTGCTTCTCCATCGTAACTGTTGATACCTCATCCTCCAGTTCCTCCAATTGTTGCCGTGCCTCCTTCAGCTGCTGATTTAGTTGATAGTTAGCTTGCTCCAGATCAATCATACTCTTGCCCGCGTCGTCCCGATTCGAGCCTAAGTCCTCCAATTCACGAGCCAGAGCAGCTCGCTGAAGCTCAGTCTCTTCGAGGCGTTCCTTAAGGCTATCGATTTCGTTTCGATACATGAGCAAACGTGTATCGCGATCACGCATCTCTCTGTCGAATGTCTCCTTTTCGGCTTGGAGATGATTAACTTGATTCATAGCTTCTGCATGGGCAGCTTCCAGTTTCTTCACGCGACGCTCATTATTGGCCTGATCGTAGCGCTGGCTGGCCATAGCGTGAGTTGCATCTTCAAGCTGCGAGGGTTATCAATAGAGGGTTATCAATCAGTTTAAACAGAGTTCTTTCATGGAAGAACATATCTATCAATTTTGAAGTTTCACTAACGTGAAACAATATAACCAATCCTTAGTTTGAAGACCTTGCAAACTCAGACATTATCTCCCGAGACCGCTAGGTGGAAAACAAAGGGTATCATTTATTTTATTCAAATGAGCTAAAACTGCCTTGATGTTTGTTAGTGGCAATGGACTGAGGAACAGAAGTACTAGCGATATGTTAAGCAGTGCCCCGAGCGGTGAGCCTCAGAAAAAAATGGCAGGTAAAATTTAATTGGGATCAGTATGCTAGGGAATAATCATCACTGCATAGATGTGTGATTGATCACAAGGTTTCGGAGCATGTAATTCGAAATCTGCCGAACAGTGAGTCAAGATTTACGTCAGTGTAGGCTTTGAATGATTATAAGGAGGCAATTCATGTAGAACGATATGACGTGTGGAACCGTATCTGGCGAAGTGAGTGAATACCCGAGTGATTATGGAAGACGGAGTGGGGTTTCACGGCTAGATATAAAAGCTACAGTCGAGAACAACCTGTTCGGGAAGTTCGATTGATGAACTTCATACGACTGTACTACCTACCCCGGTCGTTGCAATGGGCAGTGCGGTCCTCATTGGTTGACATCATGACCGATACTTTATAAAATTCCTTATAGTTTGTGTATGCATCTACAGTTCGTAGCTGGGTACTGTGAGGAAATTCAACCAGTAAGTAGAACTATTAGGGATCTCATCCGAAGTCTTTAGATTTGACAAGGACCTAACCGCGAGGCAGCGGGGAAAGCACGAGGAAGACCATCAACTTAGATCTATGACTCCTTCATTGTTGTACCGACTGAGGCATAATCTCGAGTCGGGCCCCCAAACCTGGAGAATTAGGAAACTGAACATTTTCTGACGTCTACTCTCTGATCTTTTAGGTATGAGAGCACGTCGGGTCACAGATATGCACAAGCCATGATATTACGTCAAGATGCAGTCTATTTGACGGGATTTGGTACAACGACTGGTTCATGACAGAGGGTATTATGTAAAGGTCAGAACAATGCTGAGGGGACAATACGCAGAAACCTTCGAGCGTCTAAAATCAAATCTGGCATATCAAGATGTACATTATACCACGGCGTAGGCTCATTACGACCGTTCGTTTTGAGTAACAACAGACTCAAAGTGGAAAATCCATTGCAGCGCTAGTTAGACAGCGCTTGCCTGTGACAATAGAAAGTCAGGGATGCTGGTATTTCCATCAGCCACGATGCTGACCACGACCTGGATTGATACAATCGGTTTGCGTAAAACCACTGTCGAAGACACATGTTATCGAGAAAACAAATGGTGGACATCACAAGTGCATGATCGGTTTCCGAAGTTTTTCGCTTTGCTTTGTCAATCAGCTACTTGGGTTTTCGATTCTCGATTCAAAGGTTATATGCGATCTCAAGTGATCCTTATCCTTAAAAGAGAACAGGGTATAGGTACGCGCTCACTGCTCTGTGATGTACTATTGTGAAATTGTCACATTAGCCTTTTAGCTTTTGACTGTATATTATCAAAATTTCATTAAGCTTTTCAACCTGAATAATTCGAGTCAGTGATGGTGAGTTCTGCGCAAGCAGAAGTCAATCCAATTTGTTCCTCGGTATAACCACGGCCCTGTTTGTTTGTGTAAAAAGCAAACATGACAGAACCATATCCAAAATTAGAAATTGGCTAAAGGAGAAAGCACGCGAACACAGGACACTTAGGAATGGGAATGACTGCTGACAAATCATTTGGAGATTACACGCATAGAACACACCTCGGCCTGAATTTTCTTCCGCGATTTATCGGATTTCTCAAGCTGTGCACTGAGCTCCTCATTTCGATTGAGTGCAACATCCAGTTCTCGAACCAGTTTCTTACGCACTTCTTCAAGTTGTTCGATTTGGTGCACATCTTCTTCCGCCTTCTTCTTGACATCTTGCATCTGAAATATCACAAAGAAAAATTATGAGTTTCCGAGGAATCATTTCATGTTTTCGACGCCACATCAGATGAGGCAGTGGTTAACATCGTACCCCAACGTACTGAAAACAGGGTCACAGAGGACAGTTAGTGAGACTAGCTACAGAACATTATGAGATATTAGCGTCGCTGGAGTTTAGACACGAGTCCTAATAGATGGGTCTACAAATCACTGGGTCTTAGAAAACGCAATTATGGGTAATCTGATAAAAGGATAAACCGGACGGCAGTGCACGAGATACAAATGTAATATACACTGTTACCAATAGAACGAATGTGAAGCAACATGTGGTTCAAGGAAGTTGACCGACGGGGGAAATTGGAAAGAGTTTGGAAGAGTATTTTGTGGCTCCTAGAGTTAATATTCGCATTTAGGTTTCTCTACGGTACATTCGCATCAGTGAAGATACATGTTCAAAACTAGTCGGCACCGGAAACCGGTGCTCTTTGTGTGATTATTTGATAATGGCAATAAAACAGGCAATACTTTCGGGTATGTTGCATATACATTCCAATTTCAACATCTTTTGCACACCATTGAGGTGCACAACAAGATACGCAAACTCCATAGTCATGAGGAGTAACTGTGAGATAAGTGTGGTTGGTACAATTTGCCTCTTGATTTGAACTAATGAGCTCTACTGGTACTCAGCAAGAAGTGTATCACACTGGGGTCGAACAACCGTGGAATTACCTACCAGCAACGTTGGGTGAGGTTCATATCTAGTTGCACCTTCATCATATAAGTGATGCTATTACCCATATATAATAGTCTGATATTCGTGCATAGTGGCTACTTGATACCGTGTGATGGAGACGCAGTTGAGGTAATCAAACGCGTGGACAATGAATGGTTTAGATAGAAACTTGGCGGAATTTAGGAGAATCAAATGTTATTAAATATTCCACTTTCAACCTTCCTGTCTTTCTCCTACTGTTCATCCAAATGGGCAGCTAGAAGGCAACCAAAACCGGCACACGAAAGTGCATGGTTAATGGTTGTACAAACGGAAACTGGAAACCAAAGGCAGCCGTTGCAAGCAGACTGGAGTAACATGTTTTCCCCATCGAACTGTGTCCGTAAAAGACATCCGATGACCGAACATATCGTGCTTAATTGACCTATTCGTGCATTTCTGACGCGTTCATAATGTCACCAGTCACTGAGAACATTGCTTTACAATAGCCTCTTGATTAACACTGTATTGTAACTGAGTATATAAGATAATAAGCGCAATGGTTCCACTTGCGGGTTATTGGAGCTACTGATACTGCGTCGCAACCGCGTATTGTGTAAATATGGTCGCTGCTTCCAAACAAAACGAGCAGAAAGTTATCTATACCACATACCGAAACAGTGTATATACGACGCATTGAAGTAGTGCGGTTCAGTGGAAGTTACTCGGCAGTCCGATATAAGAAATTCGTGTTATGGAGTCTCGTTTTCGTAGTCAACGCCTTAGTGTGGTCATATAAGTTTAATGGGTTATGAAGATAACCAATAACAACTAAAAAGGAGAAGTGTGTGAACGATTGCGATCAGACTTACAAAAAATGACTACGTGATGAAAACTGTGTACAAAGTCCGGGAGTATCATAAAATGGGTTAGGACTTATAATACAGAACTGGGATCGGATAGAAAACCCGAGCACGGGGCATTTTTGACATAAGTGATCTACCTGTTGTTGTAAAGCAAGCACATGTTTCTCCAGTGCCATTTTGACTTGCTCCTCCGCGTCTAAAGCATCTTTAGCACCTTCTCGTTCGTCTTCAATCTGGCGTATCTGGGATTGCAAAGCCAACTTCACTCGAGTCTCTTCATCCAGCCGGGTGCGTAGCTCGTTTAGTTCGGCAACTGCTGTGCCTTCCGAGCGAGTCACACGGGTTAGTTTGGATTCCAAATCTTCCACAGTATTGTTCAATGTCTCGATATCTGCCAATGCTTTGTTCAAACGGTTATCCAAATCGCCCCGCTGCATTTCTAAGTCCTGAGTCTTCATGTGCGCCTCGTTCAGTTGTTGTTCAACTTGACGACGGCGACGATCAAGATCATTTCTGAATAATGGTTAAAACGGACAAAGAATAGTTGTGTTTAACTAATACTGAGTGTAGTAGTCATGTCAGCTAAAGTTAGAGCACAATGAAGCACTGAGGGTAAAAATGGATGGCATACAGAAACATCGTGTTCGGTTGAGCTAAACAAAAACAGCTCCAATTCGGCATGATACCAGGTTACTTGAAATCGTCTTGACTTGTTGATAAACTAAAAAACTGGAACGCACCAGTCATAAATTCCGCATGGAGTCTGTTCTCCGAACTGTCTTGATTTTACGTTTGTTACATATCAGGCCAAATCTACCCTCAAACAAGACCGAAACCTGGAAATGCCTGTCTAATACTGAGCTTTCAAGAGCAGACAAAAAAATCCAGATCCTACAGAATGGTTCACATTTGAGTTTTGCAAAGGCTATATTAAAATAACATTTTTTCATCGGATTGTTATAGGAATTGAAGGGGAAAAACATGCAGTATTAGTGAAGTCGACTTACAGCCGTATATGAACCTCGAAAGTAAATTAAATAATTTTTGGTAAATCGAGACCGAAACCTTCATATCCGGTTAACAACATTTATGACACTAAACGATAGTGACGCTATTTCACTTGATGATCGATGAAACGACGAACACACATACACACACACACACACACACACACACACACACACACACATATATATATATATATATATATATATATATATGTGTGTCAGGTACTCACTTGCTCGTTTGAACCGATTGCAGCTGCTTTTGCATCTCTTCCACTGCGGAATCCTGTTGGCCCTTGGTGCGTTCCAGAGCAATTTTGGCTTTCTTCAGTTGTTCCAACTGTTCGTTCAGCGCTTCTACGGCCGCAGTGTGAGTTTTTCTTAGCTCTTGAACTGCGGTCTCATGGGAACTGTTCGGAATGTGTACAGAAAGTAATGGCGATAATTGATTACTTTTGATCCCATCGATCGAAAAATGACTCAAACTCAAAAATGCATGAGTTTTATAGACTTGTTTCAAAGAGTGAAAATATAGTAACAGAAAATAGTTAACAAGATCATGGTTGATCGTTGCAGCAATTATCACTTTTGATTTGACATCCAATCTATAATCCGTTTTAGAGAAATAGACGGAGGTCAAATAGATATTTTCAGGAGTTTTCAGCAGTAGATCTTAGGTCATTTCCTTAGATTGCACGTACAGAGGCCTAGCGACTTGGAACTGCTTTCTGAAGTCGACTAAATTTCCCTCTGTTATCAACTACAGTTAACCAATGAAACAAACGTTTGTAACACGAACACAGTGTATAAATTTTCATTATCATTTTTATGACAGTTCACAAAAAGATATCTATCAAGGCTGCTCTTTGTCTGCTGTCCTCTTCGACTTTTTTGGTCTTCAGTTTTAGGTTGTTCAAGGGTATTATCCCCAGAAACACATTTTGTACAGCTACTGTGAATACGTAAATAATCATCACTATATATATGACTATATATATGACATTTTATACAGGTTTGCATCCAGACTGTGTACCAAACACATCAAAGTACAAAAATCTTGATAATAAAGAAATCGATCCATATGTTCGTGGGCTGTAAACTTTTAAACAAACACTATTAACAGGTAAATGTTCATAGGGGCTGTTTGCGCTATGTCGCAATACATCAGGCGCTTCAACTGCGTGACGTAAATCACTGATAACTAAAAGTAGTTTCAACGATTTGAAAAATACTACTGACTCAGCCGACCGCGGAGATACACCTCTGACTTCCGTCCGCCAGGTCATTCCTTAGAGGCAGGTAAGCTCACCTTTCATTGCACACTATCGTGTTGGATAGGATGGAGTTGAGATCTACTGTTTACTCATGATAACCCGAAACCTAATTTCTGAGATAACATATTATTAGGCGAGGCGTGCTGAGACGGGCAACTGCGAGATTGTCTACCACCAAAGTCGGATGGTGGTGGAACGGTTAGAACTTTAAAGTCTAAGGCACATTGATGACAGCGAATTAAACAGTTCGACGACAACTGAGTTAGGTGTATCCCCACACACGTCTATTTATTTATTTTGAAAACAACAGCTTAATTAAAACTATCACTGTTCCTCGTTTGTATTGGATTGGGGATGTTGATAATTATCAAGTAATGTAGTTTGTGGATTCCGTGATTTTGACAGTGAACCAGTAGCGGGGAAAAGTATATTACTCCAAAAGCCTCGATACGGTCGGCGGTGGGTGTCTGGGGTTGCAGCTGGTCACCCTTCCTTTGCATCTCGCGAAATGCTCTCATACGACCAAGCGTCTCGAATAGCCTCTG